GCTGACACACATATATACACACAGCAATTTAATGCATTGATTTTCTGTATTTATTACAGTACACATTGTATTTTTTTTTTCAATTATTTATATTATTTATAATATATAGTCGTATATCTTCCTCTCTGAAGAAATTGTTGATATAATTATAATAATTGTTTTTATTTTATATTGAAAAACTCATTTGTATGTCCAAATAATTGAAGTGAAATACGATTAACTGATAGATTTTTGTAAATTGCTATATTTTTTGTCACTTTTCGGTGGAGGAAGCCAAATAATTTAGGGACTCAACAGGAAAATTAGGGATATAACCCTACAAACAATTACGTGACGGAAATTAAACGCTGACGCCCGGTAATCTTGTATATTCTGAAATTAGTTTTTACAGTAAAATAAATGTAAAATAAGAATGACAGGAACGAGAAGTGTAGTTAGATATAATTTTTAAATAATTAAGAAATTCTAAAACTTTAAGTATCCAGTAATAAGAAAAAAGTAAGAGGACGAATAATAAAAAAGAACCGTTTTCATGCTATTAAGTAGCAATATATTGGACTCATAATAAATTTGTTCTAATTTTACATTGTTATTTCAAATTACCAACGTTGTTAACTAATACTTTATCGTCTAATTTATCAAATTATATTTAATTAAATTATAGAATTAATTTTTAAATAATTTGTATAATTGTAATTATTTATTTATTTTATTCTTCATAATTGTATTTATTCCTTATAATTCAATATATAAGTGTATTTATTCTTTATAATTCTTTATATTATATCATTAATTTAATGATTCTTGCAAAATTCATTCGAAAATAATTAATTTCCAAATATATTTATAATAATTCTTAAATTAAAAATACTTGTTATTATAAATAATAGATAATTTGCAACTGCATAGCAAATGCTTTATATTTTTTTTAATTTTCTGAAAATATTAGGTGTAACAAAGTAACAAAAAAAAAAAACTTCTTTGTTGTTTAAAAAAAAATAATTAGATAGAATTATGAATTACAAGAATAATTTAACTTATATTATTTATTATTTATTTTTTTAATATTGATTATTTAATTTAAAAATACATACTATAATAAGTACTTTATTTTATGTGATATATTTATTGTAAGCAACAATATTAAAAATTTGTTTTAATTTGTATCTTTATCTGTAAAAAATGTCGCATGACATATTTTATGTATAGATTCAAATTAAATGTGTTTTATTATGTAAAATAGAAAAATATTTAAAAACAAAATTACAAAAGTTTGGTCATATTTATTCTTATAACGACCAAATCTTATTTATTAAATTATACTTTTTATTAATATATAAATTATCACTGTAAACTAAGAGTTCTTATATTTATATGAGCAACAAATTGTTTATTATATTGTTTTTCAATCTTATTTAATACATTTACTTACTAAAACAAAGATGAAAATGTTAAGAATAGATTAAAAATTGTTTCTCAATACCTTATTTATCACTACAGTTTGTTGTACAATTAAATAAGCATATAGATTATAGCGACCATTAAGAAAGTTATTAACTAAACTCATTTCTACATATAAAAAAATTATTTCTGCTTCGTCAACATAACAGAAGAATCGTAAAGAATTGTATATTATGTGTGCTGAATTATAGCAAAATGAACGTGAGATATGAATTTATGTGTATACCAGAATTATATAAAATTTCATTTTTTACATTTATATTATAATCCTTTGATTTCGTATATTTCTTTAGTTAGTTTTTATATTCCAATTGAATATTAATGGGTTATCTACTTATATATTATATTTATAATAAACTTATAATAAAATACCTAATTAATTAATTTAGTAATTAAATTTTATTATTTGTGAAAATTAATTAAGTAAGTAATTGAATTTCAATTAGTTACCTATATATATATATATATATATATATTATATATATATGTATGTGTATATGTATATATGTATATGTAAAAACTAAATGCAAAAATATAAGAAATTAAAGGATTATAATAGAATAAAAAATGTTAAAAATAAAATTTTATATAATTTTGCTTTTCTATCATAAACTAATTTAACTGATAAAGATATTTTTATGTAAATGTGTTTTATTTTGCTTATATTTTATTTTCTATATATTTATAACTGTTTTTCATTTTCTGCCTTTTGTTCTACGATTTCTGATTCTTGCACTATGAAATCTTCAAACATTTTTGCATAATCATAGTGAATATTGGGTTGAAATTTCAGACAATTTTCTGGATTTGGAGGATTTACAATTTTGCATTCTTTTTCGATATCATTTATTTCGGGCGGCTTCTTTGAGTAACGGTAATAATTAGGTTATAGTTACTAGATGTCATCTTAATAAAAATTTTGTCACAATATTATGAGTTTGAACTAAATTATACTCAACTTTTTCGAGGCTTCTATTCACAAATGGTATTGCATTACTGGCAATGAGGTAAGATGCAATAAATACCTAAATAAATTAAAAATAGATTGTAAGTTATCTTCATATTTATTATTAAAAAACTATCTAAAAATGTAAATATGTTGATTATTCAATATTATAATGGAATATTTATCTTTGCTGTAATTTGAATGGATAATATGATGTTTTGATAGTTTTAACATTATAGGCATATAAATAATGCTGGAAACATACCATGATTATTAATATTTTGATACTATAATTGCTTAGCATGTAATTATTTATATAATACAATATGATTGAAAATACTATAATATAAATATACTACATATAAAGGCAATATAATATCAAAATTAATATTATTTCACTAATTATAAACTATCTAAACATTTTTACCTTTGCTCCGTGAGAAATGATCCTCTGGGGACAATTTTTTTTCATTTTTCATTTATATTATGTATTGTTTAAATAAATAGTGTAGCCTATTTACTTTGTTTACCTTACAATTAATTTTTTTTATATTAAATTTAGATTATATTGCAACAAATAATTTTGATAGTTCAGCTGCCTGAAGTTTTAACAAATACTAATTAATAATGATGCAACTTCATGTGACTCTTCTACATGCTCTAATCTTAACACATGCACACGTAGACACACACACACACGCGCGCGCGCGCGCGCGCACGCACGTGTGTATATGCGTATATATATAAATATTGAAATATTGATATTAATATATTGTATAGTAGGATGAACATATATATATATATATATATATATATATATATATATATATATATATATATATGTTTGGTACAATTAATTAAAAATACATTGTGGATAAAATTTCATTTATTATAAAACATACATGAATCATTGAGTTATTATATAAATTTATTACATCCCAAAAACATGTTAATATTTATCAAACCTTATTGATTAAGTTTAATTATGTATATTTCGAGAAATTACGAAATATAATAACAAAATATTTTTGACCAGTCGATATTTACATTTTCATTAATTCGGTACATATATTATTATAGAAATTGTTTAATTAGCATATTATATTTAAGCTGTAAATAGTTCGAAGAAACTATTGAAAGCTTTTATTAATTATAATGAGAACCACTTTCTTCTTTAATAGAAAATAAACCGTTTATTGCCGCTTATAACATTTATATTTATGTAGAGTTTGATTTAAAGTCAGACAGATAATGGTAAATTGAAATATCATTTTATAAACTTATATAAAAATTTTTAAAATGAGATTAAATATCGATATAATATTGATTGAAAAAGTTCAGTTGTAAAAATCTTTATTTTAGTAAATCATGAATAATAGAAATAGAAATAATATACCAACTTTCATTCAATAATTTGAACAACATTTTTGCTAAATTTCACATTTATGACAAAATTCATGCGATAATACATTGTACTGTGTACACTTATACTCAATCAAACACGACCAAAAATACTTTCAGCCGTGTTTGGTTATAGATGCGTATTTAGTCATATTCAAGCACGCAAAAATGAAATAACGAATCAAATATAACAAATAAACAAAATTTATTTCACTGCTTATGTTCAGCCGCATTGGAAATTGATATATAGATAGGATTTTGTTGATAGCTTGCAGCTTTTTCAATTGCTTTCCGCAGCAATGATTTCGCATTGACGAAAGAAAGAAATTGACAAACAACACACGTAATTTCATCCCATTCTTCATCCGAATGGATAGAGAGAATAAAATGCCTGTACATATTATGAGTAACACTTGGGGATCGATCGATGTATTTCACTTTTTACATTTACATCATCATTTACATTGTTAACTGAATAGTTCTGAAAAATATATGATTTCGGTTAGCTGTAATATTTATTATTAAATCGGAAATAAATAGTCGAGGAAAAAGAGATGATCTCTGTTCAATAATTATCATAAAATCTGCTGTATGAAATTGTTGATGAAATTTTTAAGAAATCTTTTATTTACCCTTTTTGTGAAAATTTTTATGAAAATCTTGTATATGTAATAAACATAAAATGAGATACCTATAAATTATAATTTTTAGTTCTATTCTTCAATATTACTAAGCAGAATAAATTACGCAACTACAATAAAAAATCAACAAAATTTATGATTTCTTATTATCTACAAGCTCATTTTAAACACTTTGAAAATTAGTACAAAAACTGTGCGGGAAATGAATAAAAAGTATTATTGCAAAACCTTTCATGAACAAAAAAAAAAAAAAAAAGGCATTAAATAAATCGCTTTTTCCATCATTTGAAACTCCCAATTATGGAAACTACATACCGAATTAACCTACATAATATAAATTAGCTTATGATATGAATATTTAAGTTATATTCTATAACAATTCAATATTGAAATGTAGAGCAAATTTAATTAGTATACGTTCACTTTTGTAAGTGGATCGAAAAAGTTTGATTTTAGTCATGAAACTGATGAAATTAAAAAGCGTTGGATCTATTATGTAAACATTATACAATTAAAAAATATATAGAATTAAAGTATATCTCACACTGATTATAAAAATTTAATTAAATTAAAGATAGAACGTCTTAAACGTGTCTGTATAACTGCCTTGATGTTGGGGAGCAGCCTGATGCATATGCTTTAAGTCATAATTATCATTGGTGATCATTGGTATTTGCGTGGGCAGTGTCCTACGACTAATCTTTAAAAGTCCTTTAGAACCGAACCTGGTAGGCCAATAATGATCCTTTATCCCAAGCGCATAATTCCTGAAGAAAAAAAAAATAGTATAACAGGACGAGTTTTAAGAATGTAATGAGAACATTTCTGAGTTTCCTCGAGTAAGTTAACATTTTGTGATAAGTTGATAATTGAAAATATCGTGAATTAAATATTATAAATTGGAAATATAAAAATGAATTAAAGAAATCATGTTTTTCTTTCAATAATGAAACTTAAATATTAGCCACGATTTCTTATTTCTTTACTGTAACATATTACAAATTTATTAATTCGATAAATATAATAAATTATTGCATTAATATTAAGAAATAATGGCAATTAGTTGTAGTTTTTTTATTTAATTCATATCTGTGTAAATTATATTAAGATATGTTTAAAAATATATGGCAATATATTAGAACGCTCGAAAAACCAAATATATTTAATTATAATATTTCTTATCACTGATATCGATCAGATTTCAATAGTAAAACAGTTGTAATTTAGTTGAAATTTCACTTAAATGATTGATAATTAATATTTATCTGTAATATTGAAAAAAAAAAGGTAATAACTTACTTTCGTCGTACTATTATATCTAAGCATTGTCACCTTCTGATAAGCGCTTAAAAAGGATAAACTAATGCTTAAATGTTTACCCTGATAAAGATCAACTGCTAAACTGTAAAATCAAAATAAAAAAATATATATATATATATATATATATATATATATATATATATATATATATATATATATATATATACTGACATTTTACATTTTATATTTACAAAATTCTTATGCATAAACTATTTAATTAAAAAGTTATACATACCAATAATAATCTACTTGTATATAATTATTCGGAATATAAAATAATAATTATTTATTTACTGCGAAAGTACACAATCAAATTTCAATTTACACAAGAGCAATGAAATTTAATTCAAGGAAGCAGATGCATTTAAGCTCTTTATAAGTAAAACTTGAGAATACGAATAATTTTAAGTCTTGAGAAACGGAAAGGAAATAATGAGAATATATTAATCCATTTTTTAAATAAATATACAATTTGTTAATTGGAATCTTCAAATCGAGAAATTCTTTTTAAAATTTTGTAAAAACTCATTTTATATTTTAAAATACATATTATTATAATTCATTGAAATAAAATTATAAATCGCTTATACACCTTTAAATCAGTATTAGTACAAATAATTTTTACAAAATATCCTGACTTGGGTAAATATTATTCAAATTAGATATTATGTAACGAATTTCTAGTGGTAAATGACAATGTACTATAGACGCACCGCATAAAAATATTTCTAAAATTACTTCCAAACCATAAATTATTACCTTATATTCATAGTTGCATCGATGACACTATGTACCGCATAGAGAACACCACGAGCTATGAACATTTCACCATATTTATGATGATCAATGGTAATATCCCAGGCATACTGAGCTGTCATTGTGTCTGGGTCAACCTTCATCACAACTGTGCCATTCGATATTGTGCCGTAAATTGCCCACAAGCCTGTACATAGAAAAATAATCGCAAATTCAATTACCAAATGCGTAGATGTGCAATTTTATGTATAAAGAAATTTGTAAGCGTGTGTTGGTTGTATTCGATAATTTTCTTTCCTTCAAACGAGAATCACGCGGTACAATTTTAATGTAATCTTATAATCTTCTCCATATATATAAATAGAATTTATTACTTTAGAATAGGATTTTTACTAATGTTGAGATTCGCAAATACAAAATTCTGATAAATTAATTAAATAAAAAAAAAAAGATTTAAAAAAAAGGAAAAATTAATATTTTAGATACAATTCGAATAGAGTTATAAACATTGTTTACAAATTTAAATGAAAAATTGAAATTTTTGAATTTTTTATTTACTTTTTAATAAATAAAAAGCTATTGTTGATCTTTAAAAAACAAATTTATGAAATACATGAACTAATATATCATAAAGGATTAATTATATTATTATTTAAATAAAAATTAATAGCAACATTCCAAATGAAATATAATAAAATATATATGTTCGGAATTGAAGCTTTTTAGTCGAGATCATCGGTTCTCGGAATCGCTTTACATTATTTTTTTTTTTTCAAATTAACTTCCCACTAGCCCTTCAATGTTTACATTTACCTTCTTAGAATTCGCGAATGTTTTACGAATCTGTTTAGCCTTCGCGTAGCAACAACGATTGGATTAACGAATCGCCGAAAGCTTAGATTCCCGACCGATTCCGATCGTTTACGATTGTTTCCGAAGCCTCGAACGATTATGCTGCGTTCGCCGAATTCTCGAATAGCGGAAAGTTTGTTGCCGCGGCGATACTTAAGGAAGCGCGCGACAAGACTCCTTGTAGTTTACCATCAGCAATCACTCGGTACACAGTGTCGGTAGTTAACATAAAGCAGTCATCCAGTATGTAGTGTCGGTAGTAGTTATAAATTGCCACAATTCATTTATTCGTCCAAACCACGCATATTGCATAGAGTCTTTGTCAAGAAAGAAAAGTTCAAGTAACGCTCGTTCGCTTCTCCGGTGCACCAAAGACAACAATCCGTCAAGGGCTGCCTGCCGTTCTACAAATAAATAGTCGACTATAAAAATCATATGATAATCAAGTGCTTCTGCTCTCGAAGGTATATCATTTATCAATATTGCGAATAACCAGCACACTAATACACCCGATACTCCCCCTTACGAGTGTGGTCAATTCTCCCTGCTAAGCACTGCTAACTACTACCATTGCCACCTTGCCATGATCATCCGATGAGCATGCTCGACTCTTCTTGCTGACCTTTAAAACGTCAGCATAGATCCCAAAAGTCAATATCCATTGCTAATCCCTATAATATCAACGACATACCCACCATTACCAAGAAGCAACCACCACGTCATTATAATAGAATAAGCCCCTCTCTCTCTCTCTCTCTCTCTCGCAAGAAGTGAACAATGAACTACAATATTGTAATTGTTCATAAAACAGAATAAACGATGTTTATACAACGATGTTTATATACTTTTCAGCCCTTTCACTTGTGCTTTTTTTTTTCCCACGCATAGCTACGGCGAGAGACTAATAAACTGAACTATTGAATTTGGAAGTTCGAGCCACAAACTAATTATTAATATAAACTAATTAGTAAATATAATATTTCGAACAATATGTATTTGGTTAATTTTTTACTCGGTATAATAAATTACAGAGTACAAATTTGAGTAAAAAAATAGAAATTAAAATTAAATTGATGCTAGAGTAACGTTTACGCATAAACATATACACACGCGCATAAATACATACATTTCAAACAATTAAATATCAAATCATAATTTAATAATGAAGTTAATAATAGAGTAATATTTAATAATATTTAGAGTATTATTTAATAATCTATTTAATAATATTTAATAATAGAGCTTAATGAAAAATGTAATGCAAAATACATTATTTTAAGAATGTAATTATTTTTCTCAATCTTTTTATATATTATATATAATTTCTATAAAATCAGAAATTTTGCAATCGAATTAACGTAACTAAATAATAGATATTTTAATTATGATAATTAAGATAAGCGACTATTAAAATTACAATATATTTATTTTAATTCAATACAAATCTAAAGATTTTTAAGCCTCAAATTTAGTTACATATTTATGTAGAAAGAAGAATCTTTCTATTAATTACTTAATATTTTTTGTTTATTCAAACGTGTATAATACTCGTTTAAAAATATGACAAATATAAAAAATTCTACTTCATTAATTAACGATGGTATTCTTTAGTTGAATTTATTTTTAATAATTTTCATAATACTATATATAATATTAGTGTATATTTAGATTTCAACTTATGTTTATTATCGTGAATCTTTTTTAGCATGTAAAAGGAATAACATATTAAATATTTTTAAACACTAAGGGAAATAATTTGATAGTAATGATTGTCATTTATAATTTATAATAGTAATTTATAAAACATGATCAATTTTTAGATACTAAATGTTTCATTTAATAACAATTTTTATATTATTACTCATTTATAATATTATATCTAATAATATTTAATTATTAGATTCGATTTTAAAAAAATGTCTGGGAACTAACTGGAACAAGAAAAATTCAATCTCGTGAACTCATACAGATAAGAATCAAATTACAAATATTAGGAATATATTTTATCATCGTGAAATCCAGTTTAATGGAATTGAAGTGTAAAACTATGAAATCACTATTAAACTTTTATCATTGTTTTAAATATTACATAGTGATACATACCATTTTCATCGACATCAAAATCAACATAATTGAAATTATGATTTGGTGTGTAGAGATAATTGCCCGTATTGACACGCAATCCTGGCAGTTCCATTTCCAGACGTCCATAGGCATACATCGTGCCCTCGGAGTGTGTCAGATCTAATCGAATTATCGATGATCTATTGTATGGATTGTAAAAAAAGTAGCCATCATTTACGAGGTGACCATTTCCCTGTAAAATCACATGTAAAAGTCGAGGTAAGTGATCTATTTTATATAATTTTTTACGAAGAAAAATGTAACCATCTCTCGTCACTTTGTTGACATACAAATAAGAAATAATTATAAAAAGAAACTACTTTATAAATATCTCAAAAATAACTTTCAAGTTGTGCTGTCGATATAAAAATAGTTTAGTAATCGTTTTTTTTTTTTTTTTTAATTTGTATGTATATATATGTATATATATATATATATATATATATATATATATATATATATTATTTATTAATTTATTTATTTAAAATTTTTTTAAATAAAATAAAATTTATATATATGTAAAACAAAATATAATTAAAGCATTGATTTATGCTTTTATGAATTTGGCATTACATAATTATAGGTATTTTTTTTTAATGTTGATTTCACCGTACAAAAGCTTATAATTTTTAGAATATTTCATAACATTTTTTTCAAATCTTTCAGAAAAAAACTTTAATTCGAATTTCAAATACTTTTTGGTATCATGCAAAAAGTATGTAAAGACAGTATTATCTTTTTTAAATGAAGTTTTCGAAATAATAATTATTTTCATTAATCCGTAATTTTCTATACATACAAATCTGGATAAGATTTAGTTCTTTGCGAAGCAAAAAATATGCAAGGATGAATTTAATTTGAACTGTTGTATTTTCTACTAATGATTTAGAGAAAAAGAGAGAATAGAAATTTCATAGTGATTTAGAAGACTAAGAATATCATTATCATTATAAAAAATTTTATATTCCGTTTTTATGTACATTAAATATTAAAAAAAAATTCAATACATATTTAATATTGATTTTGAATGACTATATTTAATATATATTTAATTATCCATATTAATGTTATGATTTTGAATATAATACAAATTTATCGAATAATGCGTTTAATCAAAATTAAATTTGAATACTTATTATATTCTGAGTATTAAGCAAATAAAATCAATGTTATATTAAATAAACAATTCTTGAATTCCACATTACTAGAAGAAAAAAAGATATATATAAGTGATAAAGAATATTATAAATAATGAAATATATTGGAAATCTTTAGAATACAGTCTAAATTTTTTCATTATATGTTCAATTATTATGACTCATAAGTAAAATATTACGAGTATCTTAGAAAGGATAAATTAATATTGTATCAAATTTCTTGAAATTCTCATATCTCTGTATATTTATGCATTTCAAAATTTTAAGTTTAATAAAAATCATTGGAATTAATTATTAAAGTTAAGTTTATTTATATAATTATGAAATAACTGTTTTTAAAATAATTAAAATTGTAATTCTAGCATTTGTTATAAAAAATATAATACCTACTTAATACAATTTTAGCTATCTAATAAATAATTTACAAAATAAGTTTCAAAATATAAAATAATATTTTGAAATGAAAACATAAAATAAATTTATTAAAAATTTGTTTATAGCATAAAATACATTTTATCCTGAGTTACGAAAATTCAATTATTGTTTTAGAGGAAATTATTCTGTATATTTTGTTAACTGTTTAATTTTCTATTGTAATTACATCTTTGAACCTTGGCTTCTGAATATGAGTTATGTAAAAGTATATTCATCTCAATTTAAATATATACATTTATTTAAAATATTAAAAAGATTTTAACGATAAGCTAAATAAAAAGAGGTTTGGTTAATAAATAATTGAAAAGTAGTTATTAACTTTTCAACGATTCGATATTTATTATTTAATATAATACAATGTTTTTCATCTATAATTTTATAATTACGTTATTTTTTGTCTATATTGTGATAAACAAAATATAATTTATTAGGTTGTACTATTCCTAGTAAAAAAAATCATCTATAGCTATATTTCTTTTTAACGAGTTTTAATGTTAATTTCCTCTGAACTCCATATAACTTTGTTAATCTAAGTAAATTTAGATGAGTAATATAGAATTAGAAAAGCTGAATATTTTATCTATATTAAAGGATGCAGTTTGAAATAACAAAATAAATGCTAACAGTGAGATTATTTCACATGTGGAATCGATTCACTCTTTCATTTAATATTATTAATATAAACTCAAGCTTACTTCTTTGATATATAAGTGATTTTAGTACTTATAATACAAAAATCTATTAATCTTAAGTGCTAACTATAATCATTATTCAGAATTCAAATATAATATCTTAATATCTGAAATTTCTTCCTGATTTCTATAAAAGAAAAGCGATTTATAAGAAATATAAAATACACTGGTCGACACACGAATACACTGGTTAATAGATTTTCGGTATTTCCAAAGCATTACATTCTATTTTACATTCTTTTATACTTGTAAATTAAATTTATTATTTGAAACTAGATTGAGTAAATATGCACGTATTTTCTCTACTACGCAAATGGAACACTTTTCCTGTTTTACCACTGTTGCTTTGCACTGTAATATAGTAATGCAATGTCGTAAACTAAAAAAAAAAAAAAAAAAGTAAGCAGACAAAAGTGGACGATGAGGAAGCAAGGACATGAATTGAAAATCTCTATGAAAGGAGGGATGCTTTCTCCGCTTTGACCTTCTATTTCAACAATAGTGGTGTATCAAAGTTAGGAAAACACACCTCAGACAAGAGAAATCACCAACAGGCTACCTAGAATCGAGTGCAGCTTGCACTTACTACTATTACTCTCTGTCTTGGCAATCGGATCTCCTCAGGGTAGCCTTTCAATTGGCTCAATTGTGCATAAGCAACCAAGTCACCATCTTTGCTCGATAATGATTGTATTTTTCAATATATAAAACCGAATTCCACTGACTTATAAAATGTGTGCGTATGTGCGTGCGTGTGCGCGTGTGTAAATACTCATATAATACGTGATTTTTTGTAAGTTCTTTTGCTACATCGATTTTTAGTTCTTCGATTAAAAAAAATTCTTTCAACTTAATCATGTAACTAGTTTACGGCAGTGAAAATAGGATAGATGCAGTAATCTATTTGTAAAGGATAATGAAAAGAAGTATTCTAGTGAAAATATTGGAATCGTTGCAGAAATAATTTGGAATATATGAAGTTCATTTTGAAGTTTTATTCGAACGAGCAATTATACATAAAATTCGCACAGAAATAGGATGAATTAGTTTTAATGCATTCTATACCCAATGGATAAGATATATTCCGCTCGAAATCAGCAACAGAAGCCATCGAGTACGCATAAAAAATATTTAACAGAATTAACAATTCTAAATATTAAAAAAAAAATTTTATACAAAATCAAAGTAGCAACAATTAAACTTTTCCTAATAATAATAAAGTAAATATAGTAAATATAAATTATAACAATTATCACAATTATCGTAAGATGCATTTTTATAGGAAATTATAAATATATATATATATATATATATATATATATTGTTAATTAATCCTTTAAAGAACAAGGATAGTTTAACCTACACATTGATATTCACATTTTGATAATAAATTAATCTTTATTAAAGGTTCTTTTAAAAAATCATCAAATACGTTTTTATAGTGTGAATGAGTAACTTTACCGAACTATTTATCTAAATGAACAAAAATTAGTTATGATTCATTTTTCGAGCTTTCATCTACTTTGATATTTTATGAATAAATTATTAAGTACAGGAGCGGCAATTTATAAAATTGCATTAATCGTAAAAGGAATAATAAAATTGAAAATTTATAAAAAGAACTTTATTTTTAAATAATGGTATTTATTAAATACCCAAACTATGTTTAAATTAATTTATCGGTTATGCTTTTTAATAACCATGTATCGCATTAATGTTAAGCTGAGTATAATTATGCTTTATAATACTAATTAACGAAAGTCTATTTATCTTTATAATTTAATTTGAAGAGTTCACTTTATTTGTTAAAATACTTTTACATTAATATCCATTGATTGAATTAATTTGTAAATTCGTTTATCTTTATATCAATAAAATTATATTTTTAGATAATGTATAAATTATGTATAAGCTGGCATTATAAATGTGGCTTATTTTGTTCGCACAAGAGGTAACTTGCATTACTTATAATTGATTTTATCACAATAAATAATTAACTTATAATGTAAAAAAATAAAATTGTCGGGTAAGAATATTCAGTTGCAAAACGTTAATTTACTTTTCAATGATTTCGAGTAATTATTTATTTAATTTCATTCTTTTCAATCCACCATATTATTCATTATAAAGTTTATTGAGAATAACGAACGGCTTGTACTGCATAAACAACGTCATTGTCAAAGAATATAGTTTAAGGCGAACTAACAAAAGCGTGTCTCTGTCTTTACAAATACCAAAGGGTATGAGAAAAAGAAAAATTCAGAAAGAAATAGAATTTTTTGAAATGCTCGCCTCTCGTGAAACGAACCACTTAATGATCCACGCTTAATAAACTTCATAAAAATTTAACAAAAGTACGTACTTGAAATGGATAAGGTAGCTTGATATTCCGTAGAATTTTTCTCTGCGTATAGTCATCGATATCGGCATACTCGTAGATATGTGAAGTGTCGGTGCTACGGGTCACCCAAAGTTTTCCTGCCATTGTGTCGCTCTTTGGTGACGCGTCCTGCATCCATACACCATAGAGATCGTCCATCTGACCCTTGAAAACGGGTATTCCCACCGCACCGATCATACCGTCTACGCATACGAGTGATTAATAGTTTTACGACGACTGACTTATTCCTCCAACTCGATCGCAACATAAAATTAATCGGCTTGTTCGAATTGTTGTTTAACGATGTGTTAGCTTTTCTGGATAAGGCTTTTATGGTTGCACAGGTAACCAGAGTTAGAGATATATCTTGTTAAAAGAATCACCCGTTTTATGAGATGAAATTAAATAACGAATGAAATGCAATTTCGTAGTACAAAAACTAAAATTAGTTTGATACATTTATAATGGAATTAGTTTGGATTTAAATTTAAATTAGTGCATTTAAAAATTTTGTGATTCGAAAGTAATTTCAGATTGCGACTGTGTATTTGTTACAATTAATATTTATATGCGTATCGATGGTAGGAAGAATAGGATAGGACTTGTAAGAAATTTTGAAATAATTGGATTCTTTTTTCGTTTTTTTTTTCTTTCAGCACGCAAATTAAAATGCATAGAATTGTTAACTAATAATTAACGCCGGCAGTCCTATTGAAATATTAAGAAATTCGTCTGGCTTTTATAAAAATAAGTAACTGCAATAAAGAATTTTTAAGTTTACTACATTCACAAATGAATATTACTTTACGGAAATTTACGCAAATACTAATTATGATTATCTGAAACTTGTAGACATCAATGCGTAGCTACTAAGTTTCATAATAATGATATAAACCTACCGGCAATTCTAGTTGGCATCCCCGTAAAATTAATGCCGGCCATTGGTTTCGCCTCGACACCCGTGTATCCACAATTCGCCCGCGGACAACTGTCACATTTTAACACTGGAGGACAAAGATTTCTATATTGTGGACGAGGAGGCGGAAGCTTACCGAAAATAACTGTACCTTTGGACTCTGTTATTTTCTCATTTGTATCTGAAAAAAAAACAAAATTTTTTTATCCACTGACTTTTTAATTATCGGTTTGTTCATCATTATTCAAATGGATCGATAGGACGGGTATGAAGATTTTAAAGGCAGCAAAAATATTGGTGACAGTTGTGTTAAGGAGCATTCTAGAGGGACGAAAAAAATTGGTAGTGAAAGGAAATTCATAAATAGCGCAGAAATATCGCAGCCTTTAATTATTTATTTTCAATACAAAATTTAATAAGTAATTAAATAAGTCCTCATATAAGACGTATGAAAGTATATAGTTAGAATCAATGAAAGTAATCAGCCCTAATAATTATAAGAATTGTTAAAAGTAATTAATATGTATTTTGATCTTGTTATTTGTTTTCAAAAAAAAAAGAGAGTAGCAAACACAGTTTGTAGGTTGTATATTTATAGAAAGATAGATAAATTAGAAATAAGAAATACATCAGAAATTATTACAATATTTTAAAGTAGTATAATTCTAAAATTCATTTAAATTATAGTCTTATGTTTTTTGTGATTTCTCTGTCAATAAAAATTGAATTTTATATAGGCCTGCGCGCGTGTAATTATCAATTGGAAAACCTTTATTTGCAATATGAATTCGATGTAAATTTAACGATGACATCCGTCGTAAAGATTTCTCAATAAAATAATAATTGTCAGAAGTTTGACTATAAGAAGTAATTTGATGCATTATTAAAGATTTAAATAATTTGATAAAATCTATTATGATAAAAGAACTGTATATAATTATTAATGTACAGAATAATTTATACTTTCCAAATAGAAAATTATTTTCAAACTTACCTTTTATTATTATTACCCCTCTTGTAATGTTTATTGCATTTCTTGCGATACAGTAATAAAAGCCATAGTCGAATGTACTTATTTTACTGATTTTTAGTTTCATTCTGAACTGAAAATGAAATTACAAATTTGAGAAATTTTAATCATTAACTACTGATTCTTTCAGACATTCATCAAGAAATATTTATCTGTTTTTGATATGATAAAATTAAGCTTCCATTCTAAGCCAATGAATTTTGTTGACTACAGTAACGCATATCAGCATAAAATATCAATGGAATAACAAGATGAGACTTTAATGTTCACTAAACTATTTAGCAATGCTCAAAGAGTGAGTGCTCTCGCTTCGTAAAAGAGAAAATATTGAATTTACAATTTTGAAAGAATTATACAAACGAATGTAGATGAGTTAATATTGAATTGGTAATCTAAAAGCCAATAATTCACATCCAAATTTCCAATGATTCCGATGTTAAGTATACATTATATCTCAAGCTTTTCCTGTATTATTATCATTTATCATTTATCGTACCTTGTAATCCCTTCTATATTCCTCCTCCTGAAATCTGTATTTCTCCGGCTTGCTATCGAGTCTGCCATCTTTATTCTCCCAGTGCAGTTCTGGTTTAGGATACGCTTCAACTTCACAGTCCAACACGACGTTGCCGTGACTTCGCACACGCACCACTGGCACGCGAACTCGTATCAATGGCTCGACTGAATAATCAATTCATGAACAAAAAGCTTTATTTATTATAGATCTTTAAAGAACATCCAACTATGATTGCACAACAATATACTAGGACTGTATATAGACACATCTATTAGGATATACTTTATATTGATTTAAAATTAATAATTATATTTTATCTGCTGTGATTTTTCGTGATTATTTGACAACGATGCCAGTGTAAATTAAATTAATTCATTACCATACAAATTAATATTAATATACCATTACGAGTTATAATATATAGAATATTATTTGTTAAATCATATTGGACATTCAGGCGATAATTTCAGTTCTATAAATTCCTATAAATCTACGTGTTATATACAATCAAAAATCTTACATTTGAATTTTCTTTATAAGACAAACATGTAAGTAAATTCGTAAAGTAACAAATTGATTATACTCATTATTGAAAGATTGATTTTTCTTTTTTTAATTTACGATGAAATAATACGTTAAATAATTAATTTTTATAAAAACAAGTAGTATAAGGGTCAATTATATATTGCATGCACAGGTATTGAAGCTAATTAATTAATTATAATATTAAAATACTGGAGAAAACAAGCGAATATCGAATAATTTGTTTGAAAAGCATCGAGTTGTATTTTTAGAATGAAAGTAGCTTTATCCAGCTAAATCAGAAACATAAAACAGCTACTCTAATTACCCTTTTAAATAAGTTACACTAAAATTATCTTAACCCGCGTATATTCTATCATACTTATTTTCAACAAATGTAAATTGATACTGTTGTGCAATACTTAAGTGCATCACATTAAAAATAACGACTTCGAAATAAATAATAAGAGAGCGCCTATAAAAAATTACTATTTGACAATATTAGAGTTGTAAAATATAAAATATTAAATATAAACATAATAAGAACCATTTATAATGAAAATTTTTAAAGTTGTAATTTTTAAATTTAATTTATATAAATAATAAATTAATTAAATTAATTTAATAGATTGTGGACTGTTTGAATTCAGAGAAGCCTTAGAACGACCAGATAAGTCAAATAGTTCTTACAAATAAGAGTCAATTAAAATTATTATACTTTTTGCAAACTTCTTTTCGATAATCAACTGTTCGAAAAAGCTACATTGAATTTTATTTTGAACGTTCATGAATACATGATTTAAATTCCATATATAGATATTACAAAATGTAAAAAATTTGAAAAGTTTAAAATTGTTATAATGGAATTACCTTTAACATATTATCTTTGCACAAACAAACTTTGGAACGAATTGAAATAGTTGCGAGGACTTTTGAGATTTATAACGAATTCAAAATATAAAAGCTCATAAGATCGTTAAAATGTCGTGCATAAAAGACTTATTCTTCTATATATAGTATATATATATATATATATATATATATATATATATATATATAATTAATTTACTTTCATTATTATAATTATATATAAAGCTTTTAACAAACAGTAAATTTACCTCGATTTACTCGAAAATCACATAAATATTATAGCTTTACTAAATACTTGAACCTAAACTAACAATATTAAAAATTAGATTTAACAATAATAAACCACGAGAGTTGAAAACATGTGTATTAATTTTCAGTTGTTAATACTATCCTTCAACTTTCGAAAGTAATGTATTGCCTCTAGCATAGCATACGTGCACAATAACAACGTGAAATATCGAAAATGTCAGATACGGAAGCACATGTTTGTCGTTGCGGCTATTGTGTTTCACTCTGAAAGCTCGCTGTTCTGTAAAAGAGTGCAATGTCTCTTCGGTGTCAAAGAGATGTCATCACAATAGCCTATTATCAACTATAGCGCGTGTCCCATAAGTGACAAGCCACACATAAATTGAAGAGGAGAAAGAAAATGATAACAAACATAAATCCGATGGCTTCATACTATTTGAGAATAGCAATTAAAATTTATACGCAGTGGCATTTCCAAATTTTAGTTGTTAATGCATGTAAACCTTGTTTTCCTTATCGTCTCAATTGCCTTAGTTTAATAATTCAATTTGATAAAGTAAAATTTCATTTTTACCAATGAACAAAGAACAATCATAATTTAACTGGAAAATATATTCAGGCATTAAAATTTAATTTAATTTTCAATGATAAATTTTATTCAATTAATATGTTAAAATACAAAAGTTAAATTTTCAAAAGTTTCAAAAATTAATTTAAAGCCTAAATTATCATTATTGCATATATAGGAAATAATGTTATTATTGGATTTTTGATGATACACAATTTAATGCAGAAAATTACAATCAATAGTGCACATACCTCAATGGTAAATATGACGAAATGTCTTTACTGTTTATAATCATTCCGATAAAACTATTTTTTGTATAAAATATAAATTTTTTAAAATCAAGCGACGTATAAATATAAAAATTATTGTATATTTTCCAATGTAAAGTTCTAATTATATTAAATAATTCTTTTCTCTCTAAAAATTTGAAAGAAAAATGATTAGCACAAAGAAAATTCCTATATAAAATGTCAATTAATATTAATATTATAAATTCAGATTTTTAGAAATAAATAAAATAAATGTTTACTACTTCATTATATTCGAAATTTTTCCAATAGCAATTTTTTCAAAGTACTTTTTAAAAATCATGTATTATATTCAAAATATTTTTAAAAAGTGACTACTATTATTGTATATTATTTCTGGATTTCGGTAATTTTCATCGTATAATTCTAATTCTAAAGTGTTTTTTATTAAAAAAAAAAAAGAAAACAAAAAAAAAAAAACAAACGAAACTGATATCGTTAAATTTATTTATGATGAAATATATATTCTTAAATCGTTTTAGTTTATTTTAATAATTAAGTCATTATCTTATAATTCGTTATAAATAATAACGTCTTATGTTACAATATAAATAAAAAATACAGTAACTTAAAATGTTTGAGTAGTTGAATAATGATCATAAATGCTTGGTAACTTTGTGTTTCTGTTTGCTTATATGTCATGCAAAAACATTAGTTTCAAAGTTCTTCGATCATTCTATTTATAAACCTTCGCGACAGCATATTGTTCCCATTAAAATACATAAATTTTGTACAATTAAATATAATATTTAGGTTAAGGAAACCTCAGTTACAATGTCGAATTCTTGGAAAATTGAATATTGCAAGATATTCAAGCAATATGCTAAGTATTGATTAAATAAGTAATCTATTAAACAAACATTCGATGAATGTTTCACAAAAATTTCTTGCAATAGGCATATTAATTAAATTAATATTAAAAAAAATCTTCTGTTAAGTAATAGTGTTGGTTGGTTAAGCCTGCAACTGCCTATCGGGATAAAAATATTTATTTTAATTGCTTTAATTTAATTATATTAAATGAACTCACATTTCACATTCAGTTTATATCTCTTATTGGAACTGGGTGGTATGCCATTGTCTGCCGTGCAGGTGTAATTTCCCATGTCATCTCTATGCACAGATGATAAATTTAAGGAATTTCCGTAAATTGCTGAGGCTAAAAGCAATGGAGGTGTTTGTGAATGTAATTCCTATATTAAATTTTTTTATAAACATTTATTGGGCGGTTAAAGTCCCTTAAGTGAATAATAATATTATTGAAATCATGTTTTATTAACATCAACATTTTTTTTACTATTAAAAAAGGATGGTAAATAATTAACATTAATAGCAATTCATATAATTAATTGCTTTAATGATAAGTTTAGTATTATTATCAATTTTGTTTTCTAAACCGAAATACATTCAAATTTGGTTTATTCTTATACATTGCATTCGAATAAGAAAAACATTTAATGTATTTATTAACAAAAAGTTTAATTTTGTTTTAGGCATTTATGCTTTTTTGTATTTTGTATTTTTATTTATTTTTCTTTTATCTAATTAACATACTATATTTAAATGAAAATGCAGTATAATATATTTTTGTATAATATATTATTTCAATTTATAATAGGACAGTTGTTATGTAATCTAAATACAAGATAAATAAATTTTTTTACAAATTATATATATTTTTTAGTATATTAACTGTTCGGGAAATGGACCAACCTCGAAGAATTTTAAAATGGGAAAAGTACGAGCTCTCGGACGCTTATGTTTATAAACATTGATTCTGCGAATTCTTAACCAGTCAACGCCTTATTGTCTAGCGTTCTACGTTATTTCCGCATAGCAACGACGATTGCCAATTCTCGAACATTCCAAGGCAGCCTCCTTCTAGATTTCTCGAATATTTTGTAGCTTCGCTCTGACCTCATCAAGACTTTCGTCCTATCAACAAGCTCGAGCACTGCTGCCAGCGTTGCAAGCTGCCACGTTAATATTTAAGGGCTGATCGCCACGCGCCCGGACTCACTGTATTTTTACCAATCATTCACTCATTTGTTCTTACTCAATATAATTTTACCAATCGTTCGCATCTGCTATCACTCATTAGCATTACGCAGCCAATCAGTTATTAGTTATTAACACAGCATTATACCAGATACCAACTGTAATTTAATACTCTAATAAGCCAACAGTGACGCCATCAAAAATCATAATCCTTTAAAGATCATAATCAAACAGACACGAGTTCTTCATAGGCAAAGACGCACCAGCTACCCCTTAGCAGACGAAAATATTCGTCTCGGCTTCATGGAGCAATTATTAGATCGTCAGCCACACGTGGCACTATTCAAAGAGTAGAGAGATTTACACCTCATGCTGCTGCGAGTAGTAAATTCCATTACCATGTGAAAACCACTGAAGGAGTTTAACAGATTTATAATCATTTTACAATGGCCATTAATATAATTCTATAAACACCATTTTATAAACATATTATTGTAGTCCGAAAATAAATAGAAAACTAAGATACGCTGTGCGTTAAATTGAATAAATGCGTCTGCCCCCTCCACTTGCCAGCACTTCCCCCCACCTAATATCACCGGGAGGTTTTACAGTCTGCTCACAGATATTTTGGTCCTTCGAGCCGGATAGTGGAAGTCAGTGCATTCCTTCAATACCACTACAGCAGGAAAGAAGCTCAACCATACTCATTATACATTGCAATTATATGTAATAAAAATATTTAAGTTATAACTCAAGTATTCTTTTCAATAATGTAAGTACCTCACTGTTGCTTTCTCTCTACTACCACAAGATGTAAATCCAAGAAAAGAAAGAGACTAAGGAGTCATTAAATCCAAATACATCCACTACCCATGAGCGCATTGCTCGTAGCTCCATTAATGTAAGGCTATCCAATGAGCACATTATGAAGGCCCAAAGTCAATTGACACGCATATCAATAATGAGAACACCAAGTAACAATCTCAGCGAAGAGAATACAGACATCAATCTGCATGAAGTGCAATCAATCAGAGATTCCATTGATGAAATACATAAGACTTTCACCAAGGAACATAGCTATCTCTAAGCCAATTGACCATCATCAACAAGCAATAACCATGAATATTATACTAAAAATGCATTTGCAGAAGAGTTCTTGTGCTATGCCGTTGCAAAGGCAATTATAAAGAAGCTGTGTCATGACTTAGGCGAATCTACACAAACAAATAGTACAACTAGTTCAGAGGAGAAAGCTCAAGCAGGAGAACAATGAGAAATGGCCTGCCTCCTGTTCAGAGATCTGTTTCAATCTGTAGTACTCCAGAGCAACACAAACTAAGCGACATACAAAAACTGGATTACCTACCAACCGAGCATATCTCTACAGAGCACCTCACTCACCATAGCCTGGAATAAATTGATATAGAAGTACAACACTCCCCGACTAGCAGTTAAGTCCCTCATACGACAGATCATTACCACCTAACCTACAACCATAAAATCAGCCACGGAATTAGAAAAATTGGTAAGCAACACAAGCGATTTACTGGAGACATTGATTCGACATCCCAAATGCATGGGATTGCATGGAAACTCACCTGTCTTAATGTAACTTAACAACCAGATAAGAAGGGAGTTGGAACGAATACTCGGTGATTCAAAATCCTATCCCGAATTTGCACAATTAAAATCTTCTTTTTGGCACAAGTAACAGCATAGGTTGTCAGATCAAGTCGTCGCTCAATGGCGTACCATTAGGGAGGACTTGGCAGAGCAGAACAAGATAATAATACCTCGATGGCTCAACACAGAAGGGTCATCCGTTATATAACTACATGGTTTCGCAGATGCCTCTCAATTACCAATGGCCGCAGTTATATACATCTCTATTCACAACACCAATAACAAGAATGTTACATTTATATCCTCTAAAACAAAGGTGGCTCCACTCAAGAAGCTCACTATCCCAAAACTGGAGTTGGCAGCTGCTTCGCTACTATCAAGCTCATGTTGGATGTCAAGACCACGCTCATCATCAATGTGAGGGCAACGTACTTATGGATAGCATTATTTATGGCAATACTTATGGACACTTGTCAGCAATTCCCCCCACCTAATATCACCGGGAGGTTTTATAGTTTGATCACAGACATTAACATCACGTTGAGGACTGAAATACTTTAAAATTATTATTATTATAATTTATTGAATCGAAGAAAGAAAGAAATATTTATATAATTATATATTTATACATATTGTATATATTTTTCTAAGCAATAATAAAATATTCATATACTTGCACATAATATATTTTTATCGTTCACAATAGATTAAAATTATTATGAATAAAGAATAATATTTTTGAGTTTAAATTCTTACGTAGATCATTCAATTAAATAGAGTCAAATTACAATTTATTTAAATCAATATAAATTTATGCTTAGTTTAATATATAACTATAGTATAATTAACAAATCAAATACTAAATGTACATAAATTTTTTCGATATAGAAGGTTTACAGAAAACGAATAATTGATTCTTTTATAAAATAAAGTATTCAATACAAATTATAATTTTCTTGAAAAACGATATATTAAAACATAATATTGAATTATTTTAGAAAGAAGTCATCCGAATAAATATGTAAATTTATTAAATTTTGCATGGTTAGATAACATTATTTACGTTCTTCTTATCTTTACAATTTCATATGAAACATAATTTATATGCACATGTAAGACTATTTTAAAACATTAAAATGAAAAGATAAATTCATTGAATGATACTTGAACTATTCCATCGATATACTATATCATGTACACAGTAATCTAGTCTAAACTTTTAATCACAACAATTATTAATAATTGTGTATTTACTAATTACTTTTCTACCATTATATCGTAAATTAGAAAAACTCATTCGACGACAATTTGTTTAGATTAAATATGATATACTTCTCTCTTTATTTCCTTCTAAATTTTTTTTCTCTCTTATATCTCTATCTTTCGTTACATTTTATTCGTTATATATATATATTTACTTATTCCTTTTATTTGTCACATATTATATATATATATATATATATATATATATATTAAGCTGAAAGATGAATTTATAGATATTAAAAAAAAATGCTCGAATTACAATTTTTTCTTTTCTTTTATTCATTTTTAAATAAATAAATTAGGATCCAATTAAACAATGTATATGACGAAAAACATCCAAGTCTGTTAAGAATTATTCAAATATTTGAATTTTATAGTATGAAGTTTAATTTTTGATAGTAATTTTAAATAAAACTATTGGAAGAAAATTGATTTTATATTAGATTTTATATAATAATAGATTTTAAAATATTGATGCACACTCTGCATTAGGTTTATTACTACAAATAATTTAATTAAATCTTTAGGAAATTTATAAAACCCTTTGAAATAATAATCGATCATACGTAACTACTAAATATGGGATTTTATATAGTCTAGTAATTTTGGAAAAAGAAGTAAAAGAAGCAAAATAACTTATATTTTTTACATTTTCATAAATAAAATTATTAAATCTATTATCACCACATCTTCTTACTCCAAAGTTAATCATTTTTCAAATTCTTTATACCTCTAATTAATATATACTATTTATTGTATATTTATAATTAATTCTTGAATATTGTCCCTCTTGCTTGTGTTTACTTTCGTTCTCCATTATTAATGAGGGATATAAATACATTTATCGAAATAAATTAATCAAAATCATTCTTTATTCATTATTGTCTTTCACATTATCATTAATACTTAATGAATTTTTACATATTTTATCTTTTCTATTTATATAACGACAAATAATCATACTTTATGAATTTGCGTATGTTTATAGATGTTATTATACAATCATAAATAAAATAAAAATTATTCTGTTTTTTTAATGATATAAAGTCGAGGAATAATAAACATAAATAATGTTATTTTGTGAATTCTATTAATTTTTATTTTTTATAAAAGGAAAAAAACAATTGCAATGACATGAAGATATTATACTAATCTACTTCGTAATAATGAGATTTATACAATTTTTTTTTTAATTTTTTATATAAATATACTATTTATGTGTTAAATACTTTTAAAAAATGAATAATGTTCAAATTTATAAAAAAAAAATAAATATTTAATTTAAAACAATTTTAATTTGTTAAAATTAATGAAAAATATATTTAGTATACAATGTATACTTAATAAACATATGAGTACACTTATACTCATACAAATTTATACGCATATAAATATATATATATATATATATATATATATAGTAATGTAAAAATATTCTTAAAATGAACCAAGTTTGTATAACGACAAGAAGTTTTACTTGAAAGATAATACAGTGAAATACTTTTAGTAAAAGAAAATTCTTCACAATACTACATCGATAACAAAATTTTAATTATTTTCCAATGTCATAATGAATTTCAATGTAAATAATAATTTCATTTATGAATGAAATATTTTCTTATTTTATTCGTAAAACACTATCACTAATGTTTGTCAATAATAATATTTGTTTGTAAATTCATTGAAATCGATCCTTGTTAAAGACGCGCAATACGTTAAATGCGATTAATATTTATTTATATTTTTTATGTCATTCTATTTACCCAAAATTAATTAATTTGTATCCTTCAATAATTGCAAAAGCGTATTGACGAATTTAATACATGAAACAATAAATATATACTTTTTAAATATTTTAATTCAGTACTCTTAATTCAAAGTAATGCGAATGTAAGACAAACTGTTTCGTACAAATTTACCTTTTTTTTTTAAGAAATATTATTTAAATATTCTAATATTCACTTATATCTAAATAAAGCTTTGACTAATGTTCATTACCAACCATTATAATTAAAATAACATACAGTAAATTATATTTCTGTAAAATATTCGGAAATGGGAATACTTACCATACCAGTTTTCAGTGTGGATGGGCAAACCATCGGGCCTGTGCCATTGAATAATTGGACTAGGCTTACCAGCTGCGTAACATTCGAGTCGTATGTTCACTCCCTCTTCCGCAACAACAAATTGAATTTGCGAGCTACCTATAAATATAATTTGCAATAAATATCTAATGCCCTTCTTTTATTAAAAAAATTGTAAAAGTATTGTAAACATTTAAGACTCTGCTTGATAAAAATTACTTGCAATGATAAAATTATTTCTCTCGTTTGTTGTAAAATATTCTAACTCGATCCGCTAAATCGAAACGCGCTTTCTAAATATTCAATCTCTTATTTATTAACTACTGATTAATAAATTTATATATAATTTTTTATATCGTTTTTCAATGTAATAGCAAGTTATGCTTACTGTTGCGTAATTCTTTGCTGTTCGAAACAAATTTACGTTATATATAGTTGGACATTAATTACGTATGTAGTTTACAATATTTAGATATTTAAACAACTTTTAATGGGTTATATCATTTGCTAACACGATTCATCGAAAATACATCTCACGTGCGGTTTATTTCAATATAAATGATTCAAAAATTAGCAATATATCATTTGATTTTACTGCGTTTAATTTCTTTCAAGATAATACTAAGAATAAAACCATTACTACGTATAATTTATTATTATTTCCATTTTTTAAATGGAATTATTAGCAAAAATTAACTTCATTCATAATTATTTATCAATTACATGTATGAGTAAATAAATATAGAAATCAATAATTCGTAAAATATTAATACATAATATAATAGCATAAATAAAGAATAATTATTAAATAAAATGTAATACATATATTTAAAAAGCTATTTCTTAACAATTCCAAGATTATTAAATGATTTTGAAAATTCTATTATTGAGGTTTTCATACTTTTACATTACTTTTTATGTTTGCCAATAGAAAATTTACTACTCAAATTATTCGAAAGGCAAATAAAATGATATCAATATTAGTATTAAACTTGTATTAATATAGAATATAAGATTATGAGACATATGTATACAAATATAGATAATTTCTTTTAATTAGCCATATCACTACTAATTATCGAAATTAGTAATTTAATAAAATATATGGTAAATTAATTATAAATTCTTAGGTTAAACTAGGTAGAAATAGCGATGATTCATAAATCAATTAGAAATAGTATTCAGTAGGATTGAAAAATTAATTTATTTTAATTATAATTATATTGTATATTTACAGATTATATATAATGTACTAAATGTTCATCAATGTTACTGAAATTCATGTATGCTTAAGATTTACATAATAAAAGCTTTGCTTCATTTATAAAAAACATAACATTCGACGAAGTGTCGATGTAATGTTGATATAATTAACTTAAAGAAATAATAATTGTATTGTACCTATAAAATTAAGAAATCCTGGTGAAAAATTGAAAATTTATTTAGAAGCTAAATAATTCCTATTAACAATTCAATTACTTATGATACTTTATACTGTGTTGTTATTATTGTTAATTGAGTATACAGAGACTATGAATTTTTATATTAATAATTCTAAATTTTATGAAAAAGTAATAATTAATAAACGTCATGACATCATTTAAGTAAATTGTGATATAAAATTTTTATAGAAAATAACATAAAATAGTATTAAGAAATAAATAAAATTTTGTTATTGTAAAAAATTAAATATATGATAGTTTATTAAATACAATATTTATAATAAACCAGTGCATAAAGGTAATAGTAAAATAATATATTTTATGAAATAATAGTAACGAAAATTGCCATGGAAATAATAATTCTTATGATTTCATCGTTACGTTTTGATTATTTGTATTAAAATTTAATTGCTAACCGCAAAAACATCATATCGCACTTAAAAGAAAATCAAACATAAAAATATAAAATATAATTTATATAGTAATGAATAAATAATAATAATAAATTAATTTTAAAATTCTATTTGTAAGTCATGGAGTAAATTATAATTATTTTAAATCATGTATTTTAAAATTCAAATATAAGATAAAATATATTACCGGGTAGAATTTGGATATAACATTAACAGTTACAAAATTGAAAGCATAATTAGCATTAATAATTGTTATTAATAAGTTAATAAAAATAACAAATTACCATTATATATTTTTATTTTTTTGAAATCTGAACTACATTAATAACAATTTTTTCTTTTAATTGTTTCCAAAAAATATATTTAAGTAATGTATTTATTAAGTATTTAAAAGTATCGTATATATATAATGTACAAACATTCCCTTACCTTACCTACAAACCCTTAAAAGAGATTTATTAATAAAGTGAAGTTATATGCTCAAAATCTAAATTAAATTATTAAAATAGTTGGTGTAATTAGTATTATAAATTTCGAATTGCACAATAAATTTTGGAAAATTATACAGTATTAAATTTTATATGATTTTAACAAATAATTAAACAAATAATTTGCTTGACAATATGCAAAAATAATTTCAAAATTATTTTGTTTTTTTTTTCTTAATTTCTATCCCAAATATTTTCCAAAATTAATTAATTTTAATGTACGGACATAAATGAAGCTTCAAACTTAATTGATACAAATTTGTAAGCATCTAACAAGTGTATAATAACATAATGTAATATATTTTAAATAGTTGTATTTTTTAATAAATATTATTAATATATACTTTATTCCTGTTAAATAATACAATAAATTTTATAATATTATAGTATATATAAATTGTTCTATTTGAAAAATATAATTTTAAAATTACTTATGTAATTACCCTGTAACAATCAATGAATAATAAAATTATTAAGATAAATCATTCTTACGTTTTGAAACATCTAGATAAAGTGTGCCTACATTATTATTTTTAATTTTTTATGAAAATATTATGAAAATAACAATCAATCACTGCTAAAGTTATTAAAATATTGACACTTTAACAAACATTTGAAAAAAATATTGTATTATTGTTGCAAAGAAAAGAATTCCATGTATTACATTAATAATAACTTTTAATTTTGTTTAATTTTTAATATTCACATGTTTGTTGTAATTCATACTGTTTAATACTTATGCAAGAACATTAAAAAAGTACAGGAATTAAAATATTTTTTAATAATTAACAAACACTATTCCAGGATATCAATAATATATTCAAACGTATTTTTGTTCTAATAATTTTTATGAATTCGCTTATTTATTAAACAATGATTTTTTCATAATTCATATTTCAAATTAACCATTAAACTATATATAATAGCAAATGAAGGCAATTTATTCAAATAATTAAATAAACTGGCATTAAAGTACTAATTATTTTATTCATGGAAATACATATAATTTTTATTACGTTTAATCCATATGCATATATTATTATAGCCATGAATTTTATCTATAATAATGACAAAAATAATTCATTAATCAGTACAAAAATTAAAATTAATTGAATAGCATTGCAAATTTACAGAATTATAAAGTTTATTATAAAATGAAAAATCTATATTATTAGTTTATACATATTATACAAGCTTTGTATGAAATTTAAGACATATTTCACATGTGCAACGAAATCGCTAATCAGTGGAACGTGGAAGTGAAGGAAGTTATATACGACGCCAGAATTTATGGAAAACTCACCAGCGATGGAAGGTGGGACGAGTACGTCGCTAGTGTCGATGATAGAAGTGCTGGAACTATTCCTAAAAGGTGCATAGGCGACAATACTCGGAGCACCGGGTCTGCCATCCTGCCCGGATGGACCACGTAAGCCCATTTTACCTATAATAAGTAGAGTTATGCATGTTTCCGACGAATATTTCCCTGGCTAATCTACATCAGCCGCATGTACGTACGCTTTGTGCATTAATGAACTATATCCATAGAAATTAATAAGATAGGAAATTTGTATACATGCACGGCACTTGGAACGAATAACGAATAATTATTAATAATGACTGTAGTTGAAAATTTTTTGGAATTAATATTTTTTATCATTTTATAATTTTAACATCTTATGATGATACATTATTCGGAAAAAGTAATGAAGTGTTTACATAAAAATATGTAGACCAGTAAATTTAAAAATCATAATATATTTTACAATATATAAAAAGAAGAAATTATCAGAACACCGTTGATTTATTGCTTGTATGTTAAAAGCATTTATTATTAATTTTTTTCATATTTTAAACAATGATTTATATTTCATCTTTTCTATTATTTAATTTGAAATTGTACTCTTAAATATCGATTTCTAATATGTTATTGAAAGAAAAATACAAAATTTTTAATCCGTCCCATACATAGTATTTTTTATAATTTTATATATCTATCATTAATTTTAAATCCGAGCTTTAAAATTTTAAAATAATAATTTACAATCAGTTAATTAATAATGAATAATTCTTTGTAAGTATTTTTTTTCTCAATCTTCACTAGTGAATCCTTAAAAAATAATAATTATTGTTTATAAATATATTCGATAAATATAAATACATAATAAAATAAAACGTGTGCATATGTATCAAATAACAATGAAATTATAAATATTGATATCTTACAAACAATAGGTGGAAAAATAAATATTTACAAAAACATAGATTTGCATTATGATATATATATATACGAAAATACATAATATTAATACTTAAAATCTATTGAAATGTATGAGTTCAACATATAATAACTATTGATTAATTGAAACACTGATATATAAATGTACATAAATAAAATTAGATTAATACTTAATATATTACACTACAGCTTAAATAAGTATTACATATTATTAAACTATAATTTACATTTATAACATATTTTGTATGATAATAAACGTATTTAACAACATTTTTTACATATAACATTTTATTCATATTGTAATATTAAAAAATCAATAAAATTGTAATTTACATGCTTGGAATTCATATTTAATGTAGGTATGTGAAACGCTTTAATTGGATTATCGAGCTCCATCTAAATAATAAGTCATTAAAAAATTATTTAAAAAGAAAAGTAATTTGTAGTTTTAATATGTTATATATATATATATATATATTAATAAATCTCCATATTTTAAAGAACTTGAAACCATTTTAGTAAAATATAAAAAAATTTTATTCTGAAAGACTTTAATAAATATTCGATAAATGTAAAAAATATCTTTAAAGAAATCTATTGATTTATCAAAGGTTTTCTATGTAAATGAATATCAATAATGAAGAATTTCATATCAGAAGATGACTTAAGCTTCGTTTAAAACTAAGATTAATTTCCGTCAAGGATAAATTGCATACTCTCACACGACAAGCTTACGTAAGTTCAAAGTTACATAATGTTCAAAATACATGTATATTTTGTCTCGAGTAATCGCTAAAAAATGAGATAACGAAGTAATTAAACGCTCATCAGCCTCACCCCGTACTCAATCATTTCGCGTTTAATCAACTACGCAAAACTATCATCCTTCACTAATTGTTCCTTCAACAAGGTGCTTCTGATCGTCTGACCCTTTCTTAGTCTTCGATATTCACTTTAATTCCCTTGAGCATATCCACATTAATCTATAACTTTAGAGGCAACTCCTCGATTTATTTAACAGAGCTTTATCTAAACATACCTGGAATTCCTGGAGGTCCTTGTGGGCCCTGTGGTCCTTGATAACCATGACGCCCTGTAACAAAATGGCAATTTTTCATTAAACTCTAAAAAAATACGAATGAACTAGCACCAATGATGGTGCAAATAATACAACAACAGTCTACTTAAATTACAAGTATGAAAGTTCGATAGTAGATGTGTTAGACATGAGGTGACATAGGGTAAAGTGGATTTGTACGCCAAGAATTAGACAAATGTTTTTTTCCTATACCTTTATTATTTTTATTATTTCATTATTGCAAGAAATATATGTGTATGTTATAAATTATTAAAAATTTATATAGATTTATAAAAAATTTTTAAGCTTAGAATATCGAACTAATCATATTATGCTATTAAATGTATTACATTTAAAAGACATAATTATTTTCTCGTTTGAATTCTTCCATATATTATTCATAATCATCCACCTATTAGTATAGATAAAAAACAAAACAAAAAACAAAAAACAAAAAAGAAGTTATTTTTAACGAATATATATGTTTAGCCGAAATTAGCTCATTAATTAACAATTGCTATGGTCGTGATATAATTTTAAGCAAAAACTGAAAAAAATTTCTTCCTCTTTCAAAAGTTTATAATATATTTGGGGACAAAGCTTATATCGAGTCTGGCTCATATATTTTGCGGACGAAGCAAAAACCTGATAACGGCTCTCTGTACCTACGTGCGTCGGAAATCAAAAGCACGAACGCGCTGCGTTCATGTCCCGTCAACGGAAAATTCATTCATAGCGCTTATAAAGCGCTTTTCTTCGGTCTAAATGAAATGCCGATGTTAAGTTTTGAACTCAAATGAATAAAGAGGATGGGATAAGTTTATGTTGGTGTCTGTGCGATAAAATTTATAACTTACTTAAAAGTCGAGTGTGCCGCTGTGTCATCCGGTCTGCAGCGAATTCTCTCTTTTTCAAACTCCCCCCCCCCCTCTCTATATATATATATATATATATATGTGTATATTCATCCACCTATCTATCTATATCTCCATGTAGCTGTATCTATGTCTCATATGATTCGTTCATGTGAAATTTATACCAGCAACATGAATCCACTGATTCCAGCTGATGGCCATACTAAGTTTAATGGTCGCCGATGTATTATTCAATTTGATTGCCTAAGCGAGTTAAGTGATTCCGCTCACTTGCTCGCCGAACTAGCGTTTCAAAGCTATGAAAGGATGCATCTGTGTATAAGTATCTATGAAGGCTATTTTTATTTTCTTGGCACTGATGAATTTTCATAAACTAATTTGATTTTATTTATATATTTTGACAATATTGACTATTTATTGTCTTGCCAGTACTTTTCGGCAAGTATCGAGCATTAGTATGTGTATATATCGAAAAGAATTTTCTAAATTTTTATCCACCAATAATCCTACAATTACAGTTATGGATAATAATTTTATGTGGAATTGTAGATTCAAATCAATAGATTTCAGACACGGAAACGTCCTCATGACATAAAAATGAAAAATAATCCTATATTTATATAAAATGATATTTGCAAAAAACAAAAAAGATTTAATAAATAGGAATCGCATCTCAAAATCAATAAATTCAACAGTTTAATGCATACATACTTTAAATGTACGAAAATATATTTCAATAGAATTCAAGTATTAATATATAACGATAATAAACTAAAATTAATCTTAATTTTTTCTTATAATACAGCTTTTGATCGACCTTACTATTAAATACTCATTGGTGAGTAATAATTAACGTGATAAATTCAAAATTGTTTGCTTTCTTTCCTCAGTAATATACATTTTATGAAAGTCACAAGATACCGTTTAGATCATTTAATTTACATAATTAATTCTAATGTGTATATTTTAATTAATCCTATTCAGCTTTTCAACTTGCTATATATTATACACTTATTCATATAAAATATTACATTCTATTACAATATTAAAAATTCAATAATCATTTAATTATTATATAAATTATTAATTCTATTTTAATATTCTCTTTTCTTCAATTAATTGATATATAATTAATAAATCTTAAACTTTATTACTATCACATGCAATCTATTTAGAATAGAGACTCTATTATTAACAAATAGAATATATTTAAATGAAATATGATTTATATTGTTATATTATATATAAAAATCAATGATAAAAAATTTTAATTTATTAAATTAATAATTTTATGTATAAATTAAGCCAAACACTATAAAACATTCTAATGAAAAGTGATTGTTTTATTACGATATTGTGGTGATGTCAGTTTGAAATTTTTATAATATTAAAAGTTTGAGAGTTGTGTGTATGTTTTAATTGCAAAAGTAGGTATTATAATATAAATAAAATAGTGTTTTTAAGGATAAAACATTGCATGAAGAATATGTACTTTAGTATGTATGCCATAAATGTTGATAACGGAGCAGAAGGCTTTATGTAATAAAAGATGTGAGTCTAACTTTTATAATCTAAACTTTTTATAACTTTTGTAATATTTCTAAATATAACTGATATTTAGTAAAAAAATATATTCTATGGTAATGTGTCTAAATTATAGAGGGAAATAATTTATTCAAAATCCTACAAATTCGTTCATATATATTTGGAAAAACTTATGAATTATTTTATTGTCATTGGATATAAACGAATGTTACTTAAATTAGTCTCTTATTAAATACAATTATTTATAATATAATTTATTATGTATAACTCCTACAATTTATAAATATTTGTATGTGCTATATAAAATAAAATACATTAAAATCTCGTAATTGAATAATTCTGTATAATTTTGTATAAGCGTTTTTCATTAAATATTTGACGTAAAGGAGAATTAAAACTTAATTACATAACCACAAATTGAATAATTAATCCATGCTTAAAAGCTCAATTAAATATTAGCATTAATTGTTTAGTATTCTAATTAATATCCTATATTGTTTTTTAATTTTATTCGTTATTTTTCTTATATATGTTATTACATATAAAATCTCAATAAAGTTAATCATAAAAACAATTGATTAAATAAAACTTTACTACGTTAATTAAATTTTATATAAATATTAAATATATATAAGAATATATCAAGATGTATGAATTTGTATTTATTGGTAAATTATAATTTAGTTAAAAACGATTATTTATTTGTATTGTCAGAATATGTAACAGTTAAAAGGTAATAAAATAATCTTAAAAAATTCACTAAAAATTCATTATAAGGCTATTGAATCTAATTGTGTTCTCATACAATATAAATCTTGATCAAAGTTAATAAGTTTCATAATTTAATGTTATCCAAATATAAATAATTCTACCTAAAAATTAGCTTTTAAAATCAGCAAAAGGCAACTTACATCATTTATAATTGAATTTCTCTACTCTTTCCATACACTTACTGTCGTAAACTGAAATTAAATTAGCTTTGGTTCCGTAACAAATAAAATCGACTTTACTTAATATATTGTTTCGTAATATTAAATGAATTTCATTTACATTTTGTTTATATGATAATTTTTAAAAAATACATTAAAACTGTATTTATTAAATATTTAAGAAAATTAATATTTATTTTAATGTGATATAAAAATTTCGATAGTTACATATTTAATGCTGTATCTATTTTTTAAATTATATTAACACATTTTTATGCTTGTATTTAACAAATTTGAATATAATAATATTTTCATAAAATATTAGAGCATATTGCAAATAATTAATAATCAATAACAAATATAAGATCGAAATTAATTATAAGTTCGCCTATAATAACTGAAGATCTTCAATATATTATCGTTTCAATCCTTTTAATCATTTTAGACTTCCGTGCATATTAGTCAAATAAATTTAGAATACTTTATCTAAAATATGTTCATTGTAAAGAGTGTATTACTATCAAACGTAATACTTAGTTAAAAACCAAATCTGCTACTTGAATTATGTTTTATGCGCATAAAGAGCACAGCATTAACATTAATGATGTTTGTTTTTAAATTTAATTTTGAAAGAATTTCAATGTAAAAATTTCAATTTATAATAATATACGATTGGCAGTGATATTTGAAATTTGTATATTCATTCGTGTACGTCAGAAATGCATGTGTTTCTTATTTAATTTACCTCCTTGTCTTTTCATTTGGAAACTAATCGCTTTTAACAGTAGAATTTCTTATTTATTTTCACATGGCATAGCACGAAAGAAATTTTCCATACAAAGTTTGGACAAAAAAATGAAAAATCACACCAATTACATGAAATTAATAAAATAATTCGTTCTATAAATAATGCATACAATTTTACTAGAATAACGATAGTTTATTTAAATATATAATAGATATAATATATATAATCGAAATCTAAGTATTGTCTTTCTCCTATCTGTACAAGCTATTCATATGGAAATTTTATTATGTTTAGCCTTGGTTATAGCGAATACATCTAATTATACAAGGCTAATTTAGTAACACTGTCACTCAAGTACATAGTTTACCATATGCATGAAATTGAAATTTTGAACATCGACTAGTAAAAACCAATGCAAGAATTGTATAAAAGCAATGATATGAGCCAAGTAAGCGGATAAAAAATTATGCACGAAGATTATTATTAAAGACCTGAAATATTATTTCATTATGAAAAAGTTTTAATTAAGATTTGCTGCTTTTGAATCTTTTCAAGCAGTTAATAAATATTAAATAATACAGTTGAATTTTCTCGACGTATTTCTAATAAAATTTATCAGCTGCAATATCATTTGATACTAAAACGAAGTAGCAATATTTCATTATTTAATATACAAATATCATCGAAAAACAAAAAAGAATAAAAATCCCCAATGTATTATAAATTCATGCTTTGTAATTTTAATATAATTTAAACGCCTATTTATTAGATTTTACTTAATTCTAAATAAGAAAGGAACATATACATTGTTGTTAGACATATTATTTTAATTATAATTATTACGAAATTGTTTGATCATTCAAAAGTCATTATTTAATAATCCTAATTTAATAATTAAAAACGTTAAAAAAATTAAAT